TTCAGTATGTAGCTATCCCCACTCAACGCATCTATGTGTCTGGCAAACTCAAAAACCAATCAATCTGTGAAGTTTCAGTATGTAGCTATCCCCACTCAGAGCGTCTATGTGTCTGGCAAACTCAAAAACCAATCCATCTGTGAGGTTTCAATATGCAGCTTTCCCCACTCAGCGCGTCTATGTGTCTGGCAAAAACCAATGCATCTGTGAGGTTTCAGTATGCAGCTATCCTCACTTAACACGTCTAGGCGTCTCGCAATCTCCAATACAAATCAACCTGTGAGGTTCAATATGTGTCTATCCTCATTCAACGCGTCTATGTGTCCGGCACTCCAACATCACTCAACCCGTGGGGTTCCAGCAGCTATCCCCACGCAACCCGTCTATGTGTCTGGCAATTTCAAACCTCCCCTTTCCGTGGGGTTTCAGTATACAGCTATAATCACTCAACACGTCTATGTGTCCGGCAATCTCCTACATCACTCAACCTGTGAGGTTTCCGTAAGCAATCCTCACTCCACGCATCCATGCGTCACGCGTCTTTTGTAGCGCATACTATGGGGGCTATATTTGGGGTGGCGTGTTTTACAGCGCTTTGCCAACAGCGCCAACCCACTGAAGTCTAGATTGCGGGGGTAATATAAGGCCGGGAGGTTTCAAAATAGAAAACAGCGGGATGCCTGATACAGTGCATGGTGGATTACATAATACTTCTTAAGTAGCCTGGATAGGTTGGTGTGTTTCGTTATTGTTTTGGATGTTTTTCACCTTCAATATTGGGAAGGCAATACGGAATATGCTCCGCGCCTTCGATTCTCACCTGCTGTAGGTCGTGACTACAGAATACTTTAGTTCGGGGCGTGTTTCATTTGGCATTGGGTACTTACAGTTTTTGGTATTGGGGACGCAATCGATATATGTTGGATGTGGTTTGCTTGTTTTTCTAGTGTGTTCTAGTTTTTGGTTTTGGGGGGACGCAACATGGTGCCAGACGACGGTGGAAAAAATTAACGTGCTTTCGACGAGAGCAGACAGCACGCGCCACCACTGACAGAACAAAATACATTACATCGGCCGATGCTCTTCTTTCCATTTTTGTCCAGGGGACACCACCACAGTGACTATATTTGCTACAGTGTCGGCTTCTTGACGAAGCACCTGTTCTGATAGCCAAGCTCTTAGTTTTCGGCATCAGTGATGCTCAGGTTCTTGAGCGCTAAGTTCGTAAGTGGCGGCGCGTTCTGTATTTTACGAGACCAGAAGAAAAAGACTGTGGTTTTTGCGCAGTGTTTATATAGGTAGTGGGGCGAGGAGAGCAAACTCTTCTTGCCGACCTCGTCTTGAGCTGTGGTATACTTCGCCAGGGCGAGAAATATTTGTCGACATTCTGGAATAGTGGAACATTGGGGTGCGCACTTGCAGCAGAATACTGTACTGTAGAGACACGTTCGTGTTGTTGAGAAGCTGCCGCTGCTGCGGGCAACTGAAGGAAACACGAAAACATAACAACGACGAGGACGACGACGACGATAAGGAGAGCAGTACTGCCGCGCAGTCGTGGCTGAAACGATACGTCGGAGCCCTCTCCTACACCGGAAATAAGAGAGTATCCAACTACGAAGTATGCTACAATGAGCAGAGTCCGTGACAGATTTCGAACCTCTCATGTCCAAGTCCCTCTTCATAAGGTACCCTCTCGTAGAAGGGCATCCCCGCTACACTCGTAGGCTGTATGGCATGTCAAGTGTGTTGGGGTTGAGTTTTGAGGCGAGGGAGAAGACGTATGTGAACCGTTATGCCCATTTGTTCGAAAAACGGCGACACACAATGGATTTATTGGAACTAATCTAGTGTGCGACGGCCGGAGGACAGGGAGTAAAACATACAAGCGAAAAAAACATGCGAGAAAAAAACATAAATGCCAAGACTGCACCTTGATGCACGCGAGCGGAGGCGCGCCCAAGGCCTCTAGAGTGGACCACAGCGCTTCCTCGAACCCTTCCGACGTAAAAGCGGCGCAACCAGTCGACACCAAGCACCTGCAAACACACGCCGCATTGTTCAGCAGTCGACTTAACGCGCACCGCCGCATCGTCCAAGAGGAGGGGGGGGGGCTAGAGGCGTCCAAGGAAAAGAGGTTCTCCGACCGATTTGCCGTGAAGGTTTGGGCGTTGACCCTCCTAGTACGCACGCAGTCCCTCCAAAAATATATATACATCGCAGAAATGTTTGACAGTCATTGCCCGAGGGGTTACAGTACCTCCGAAAAAATCGGAGAGTACCGAGCTGCTCGCCCGACAAAGGGTGACTTGGCTTCAGTATAAAATGTGTCTCTACAACACGTGGGGACACTTTTCATACTGACGCCAGTCAGCAATTTTTCCAGTACCAGGCTATGCCGTTGTAACATCCAGGGGACACGCCGCTTGGGAGATTGTGTAGAGCAAGTCAGAGGCCGCGCAGAGGCGTCACACAGAATATCACACAGAGTATCACACATAGTATCACACAGAGTATCACACAGAATATCACACAGCGCAACACCTCACCCAAGTATGACAGACACGGGCTCCTCACGTGCATTTCACGCAGCAGAGCCTGGGGCGACTACGGTGCGGCAAACAGACATTTCAGTGCGGTGCCCCCAAAGTATTCCGAATTGAGCGTCCAATACCAAGAGGGTTAAACCCCACCCATCACGACGTGGAGGTGGGTCGCTATGTACAAGATATATCGGTGACGCAGGAACATCGCGGACCAAGCCGACAGAGAAGCGCCTTGTCCCAATCAGGAGCGTATTTCTCCATCGCCAGGTGGGAAAATGCAACCAGGCGGGCAGCGGCGAGACTCGACGCCGAAAACCCACGCCTTCGCCGCAGCACGCGTTGCGCAACGAATGCCGCAAAACTCGTTCACCTGCACACGAACTCCCATTCTCGCGCGTCCACCCCAGCCGAGATGAGCTTCGGCCACCACTCTCGCGAGAGGCCCGTAATTGATCCCTCTCGCGCCGTCGGACACGACTGGTTCCCCTCGCCCTCCCCGAGGCTATCCGGAGGGATAGCATCGTCGTTGAAAGCGGGGCCAACCAATGCTTTCACGGCTGCCTTCGCTCGCAACCGGCGTACTTGTTCCGCTGCTGATAACAGGACAGCGCCGTGAGGCGGACATGCTGCTGCTGCCCCTTCAAGTTCTTCGGATTCCCAGATGGACAACATGTCGACGATTGCTTCAAGGCGCCTTAGACGGAGTTGTTGCGTCGCTGCCACGGGCTCCTCTTGGCCTGCCGCGCTCGGTACGTCTTCTGCCAATCGGCGTAATCCATCGCGAAAAAAGACAGGGCCGGGGGG